TACGTGGAGGATGGGGTATGGAGAAGCGAGACTCTTCTCTCACCCCGGTGTTTGCATGCAGTAATAATACATATATATATATATATAGATACATAATGAGATTTCCATGCCAAAAAGTTAGGATAGGATACTTGAGCAGTTGTACCAGCCCACGTGCTCACTGGCAAGCTGGTACAGACATCAGAAACCTGGTTGCCACCAAAATGCACGTAGCTCAGGATTTATGCCTGAAAGGGCTGCTTCTCCTCTCACCCGTTCCCCGCTACAGTACGTAGGCAGACACTAGGAGAGGACAGCAACAAATAATCTTCCTTTTAATTGGGCTGCAGAGCAATTCTATCTCGTTTCACCCATGTAGCACAACGGGTGAAGAAGTTTATTTGATGTTTTTAGAGGATGGTGTTTAGTGCCCAGCTTTCTGTAAAGTTTGCCCTGTGGAACAGGGTATGGCCATTTCACAGAGCTGGGGACAGAGAAGAGCCCAGGGAGCCACACTAGCACAGCTTGTAAATGTTAATTCCTTTATTGAGGCGAGTGACCTTTAAATTGTATTTTACAATTTTAGGATATCTCAAGAGCCGTAAAACATTCAAATAAGAAATTCGTTAAAATTGACAAGCCCCCTGTATGCCAAAAATTACTACAGAAAGGAAAGAGATACAGATTAGTTTGCGAGCCAGAAGCGGAAATCACTCCAGAGGTAAGTCCCTTACACAACCCTCATTTCGTGTATTGCAGCTTCATTAGAAACATGGTACAAAATGGCTTTTCCCGTATGTTCCTGCACTGGCGTTAAGGCCATTTTTCACGTTCATTTGCCATTGCTGCAGAAAGGATTTGCCTCTTAGAGCCCTAAAATTTTGGGATAAAATCCTGACACTGAAGTCTGTGTCCCCAGCAGTCCCCAGCAGAACTCTGGGGAGATTGGAGTTGGGCTCAGATCTGTGCCGACAGCCAAATACTTCCTCTTTAGTTTATGTTTTGGACAAATATTTATTTTTAACGTGTTTATGTTGTATAGGAAATTGAATTTGTTGATGGATCTCTCCTGAAACTAAAAAGTTACATCGAAGTCTATTTGGAGAAACCTGATGACTTCACCTTGTCTTTGGTTGAGCTGGAGTCTGACGCGACCGTATGGAAAGCAAAACTAAGAGAGAGTGAGTCTTTGGTCTTCCCATGACTGGTTTGCTGAAAAGCTGCAGGAGTTGGGCTATAATTCAGTATATATTGGCTGCAACTAGTAAAATATAATTGGCGTGTGCAGCCAGAATCCACCCAGCGGCTTGGTTTTATGCCCAAGAATTGTTGGACGTAGGGCAGAGCAATGGGAATTCCTACCTCACCTTTTGTCTCCTCTGAAAACTGTTTACCAGGTGACTGGATACACTACGATCAGAACAAAAACGAGCAGAAGAGAAGCGCAGTCAGTAAGTCAATTTGAAGATAAGTCGAGGTTGCTTCTTTTCTATGTCCCTCGCTGGCTGCTGTAGCTCAAGCGATGTGCAAGAAGCAACATCACCTCTCACTTGCTTCTTAGGTGTCAAAAAACGGAAACCAGCCCTCAGCATTTTGGAAGACGAGCTGTGTAGCAAAAAGCAAAAGACCAGCAATACTGCAGGTAAAGAGTTTGTGTGTCACGTAAAAGAACAGGTTTGGGTTGTTTTGGGTTTTTTTTTGTATTCTGTGAATTGAACTTGAGCTCACTTTTTTAAAGACTTCCACAAATCTGAACGTGAAATATAAGAGGGGAAAGTGCTGCTTTTGTAGGTGCAGAATTTGTACCTACGTTTGGTATGCTGGCATTCATTCAGTAGGTAAATGGGGAGGAACAGCTAGGAAATTTGCTTTATAAGGGTCAGCTAAAACAGTATTGTCTTCTAGGACCGGGCAATAGTGGCTGTTTTTGAAAGAGGTTTCCACTACACGTCTCAGATTTAGTATTGGGGATGTCTCCTGAGCCGTAACGGGCTGAGGTTTTTTTGGGCGGGGGGGGCGGGAATCAGCTCCCATTTATTGTTGACCTGTGATGCCCTGATGATCAGAAATACTTAGTGTCTGGGAGCTCTCACCCAGAAACTACTCATTTACTAATAGTTACTTGGGAAAAATACAGAAGAAATAATGTTAGTTTGATAAATAATGAAAAAAAAGCCAGCAAAAGTAACCATGTCGGTGTTTGTTTACGGGTCCCTCAAAACCTCGGTTTTACGTGTCAGTGGTGACACCGAGGACGAAAGCAGCTCAGCCCCGGTAACCGCGCGGGCTGAGGCTTCCAAGGTATTGTGATCAAAGGAAAAACAAACATCTGGAGCAGCTGTGGGTTTTGAGGAAAAACTGGCATCAGAGCTTCCAGGAGGTAGCGAATGCGTAGCATGGCCTTAACGTCGCGCGTCTCAAAATCTCTGCGTGGTTGGTAACCCAACGTACCGTTCGTACAGTTTTCTACTAGATGAATAGCTGCTTATAAATGGCAAAAAAATCCTTTACAGCAGCCAGCATGCAATTAGATGTTGTCATCTTCATCAGCCAGGCTTCTTAGTCCTTCAGGCGCTTTTCTCCAGCGCTTGGCTCTGACCTGGCTGGATTAATGTGAATAATAAGGTCGCCTTCATCGTATGTCCCCTGGCCACGCACAGAATGCTTAGTTACAAGTTTAATGGGAAGAGCGATGTTAAATCTGATTTTTGTTCTATGTCTTTTCAGATGGAATTGAAACAAAAAACTTAACTGATCAACAGCTGATGGTGATCGCAAAGTTGTTTGGTAGGCAGTGGAGAGAAATTGCCATTGAGTGTCTCCAGATGGAAATGAAAGACATTGAGCAGATTCAGGCAATGGAGGAAGAAGTTAACATGCAAAAATTTCTGGTGTTAAGCAAGTGGAGAGACAGAGAGCAAAGCAACGGAACTGCAGAAGCTTTGTACAGAAGTCTCCATGAAAAAGCGTCCTATGAGATACTGCAGGCCCTGCAAGGTATCGCCTTCCCGTGACCTGTGTTTAATTACAGCAGTCCGTTTCAGAGATGTTTAAAAAATTCACATCAGAGACTTTACCAGCTGCCTAGTGCGTGTTTTACTACATAGGTCAAATTATCTCCCTCTGATATTGATAATGACTTTCTTGTGGCTTTTTTATACTTCCCTTCAGAAACTGGTATACAATGAATACTATTTTTGCCCTGACTGTGTGGGAGCACTGGGTGCATGACCTGGCTGTCGTGACCAGACCAGTCAGCGTTATAAAAACCAATTCCTGGTTTTCTCAGGGAGTCCAAAGAAGAGATGTTTGGGTCTTTACTCTTATGTGTTTTAGGAACGGTTAATTAACACCCTGATGGATGGCTTAGCGCTCCGGTCCTGCAGACCCGTGTGTGTATGTATTTCCTTACTGCCCATGGGTGCTCCCACTGATTTCTGGGGGACTCCTTGTGTTCGGTTCACCTTGTGCAAACCAAAGTTGTTTAGTGGGCTGAGAACTCAGCCAGCCAAAGGGAAACCTTTCTCAAAAACGACAGATTTTTTTTTTTTTTCTGGAACAGCCAAAACTTTGTTCTTTCTTAATTCTCCCTGAAAGCAACCCGGCTGCAAAGGGTGGAGAGCCGCTCCTGCGCCCTCGCTCATCCGACCCTCACAAACCTGCCGGTGCCGTAGCCTTGTGCCGTGTCGTAGGTTTTTAAGACATTTATTATTCAACTTGAGCATTGCAGTAACTCGTAGAGATCCGATAATCCGTGTGTGTTTGTGCCTGTTCCTTTCCTCAGGTTTCTCGGCTCAGTGCTGAGCTGGGGAAGCCGCGGCTAGAAGGAGCGCGGCGGGTGCTTCCCCCGCGAGAGGGCCCCCGGGGGGCCCCCCCCCCCCCAGCCGCTACACGTCCCCGGCATCTCGCCGAGATTCGGGAAGGAAGACGCATCATCACTCAGCGGAAAGTTTAGGCAGGATCTTCGCAAGAAACGTGAATGAAATTTTGCGCAGATGAAAGCACACGTAAGACTTTCAGGAGCGATTACTCACGCGGTGGATCCCGGCGTCGCGGCCGGGCGCGCTGGGCTTCACGTACGGGGAAGCCCAGCCCGGCCACCCCAGCTTTGCCTCCTTTGAACCGGGCCTCAAAGATGTGAACACTGGAAGAAACCAGTGGACCTTGTTCAGGTATATGATCATTATCTGGAAACGTTTTTATTTACATCAGGGAAAGACAGGGAGAAAAGTTATGCAGAAGCTTTTGTCCCCTTAAAAAAAAAAAATGGAACTGCCAAAATCATGAGGTACATTGTATTTCTCACAGATGCCCACGATCAGGGAAGAATAATCCTAAACTTGCAGATAAATTCCTTTGCGTAATCACTGTATATATACATAATTGCTGTATATACTCGTGTCCATTCAGTCCTTGTTAAGCTGTGGTTCTGTTTTCTAAAAACCCGAAGACTGGTTTCATGGGAGCACCACTACTAACTCCAGGCAGCTTTGAAATTTCCCTGGGAATTTCTTCTTCTCTCTTTTTTATTTGTATAGTCTGTCTCAATTTTTTATGAGGTAATTTTTATGTTGTATATTTTTTTTTTTATTCTAAACTTTTTATACTTTTTTTTTTTTACTTGATTAATTTTAACTTGAATAGAATTAGGTGCTTAAACGGCAATGGGAGAAGCCAAAATCTCTGCAAAGGCTGTTACTCTGTCGGCAAGGCACATACTACAGATACGATTTTGAAATAATGTTATTTGCAGAAGAGAGCGGCGACCTGATACGGGAGATTGTCTTGTTTTTAAAGACACAGAATTCTTTTGATCATCTTCCTCTGCGTATGTTTATGAAAGAAAAAGCATACTTTTAAAAAAATAAGGATTAAAAAGGAAACATCTATGCTATTTACGTATGATTTTTGAATTTTTTTAATCCAATGAAATGTTGCAAGGTTGTTGTATGTTGTGGGCTGTCTTTCCAACCCTTGATGCTCCACTGCTACGTACATCCCAGGGCACAGCTGAGGAAAAGGGCTCTCTTGGTGCCCAGGACCTCCTGGGCTCTTCTGCAGATGCGTCTTTTAGGGTAAAAAAACCCCCAAAACCCAAAAAACCCCCAAAAAACCCAAAAACCCAACTGTGGGAGGCAGGGAGGCTGGTGTGGGGCTCTGGCCCCAGGCAGAGCAGCCCTTGGCTCTTCCCTCTGGGACAAGCCGGGGGAATTGCCATCGGGGGACCTTTAATATAAAAGACCAAAGCTTTAACAAGACCCTCTGGTCGGAAGCAGAAATCAGTAGATCTGAGCTGGAAAGAAGATGCTTGTTTGTAACAATGGGAGTAACTGGATAGCGTAGCAGGGGGTCAAGAGAGATGATAAGGACTTCAACCTTCAGGTTATTTAAATCGAAGTCAAGAACCTTTAAAAAAAAAAAACGAAAACCTAAAAAAAAAACCCCCAAGTTGTGTTTCTGTGGTCTTCAATTTGGCTTTGTCCAGCTCTTGCAGGCAGAGGGAATTAAAACATGACAGTTGTCCAAGGTCACCGGGGCAGCGAGGCGTGAGCTCGCTCTTCCTTTACGACTCGGTCTACGCCCTGGGCGGTCTATAGGAGCAGGACCGCGGCCCTGGGAACGGGTAAGATTACGTCTGAAGGGCTGGCGTGGTGCGCAGGCAACGCCGGCGCCTGGGGAAGCGGATGAGGATGGTGCCGTCCCCGCGGCATCTGGAAGAGCCCTGGGGGCTGCTCGGGGGTCCCCAAAGAGCCGAGAG